CGCACACTTCGGACTCCGGGCTTCAGATGGGACAGGGTAGAGGGTATCGGGGGACGTGGTCGATCCGAGGCCGAGCACTGAGTACGCTGGGCATACCCTTGTACGCTATAGCGTACTCCCCTCGGTTTGTGTGCCCCAATCTTCTAAAATGCGTAACTTTCGCATACGAGCTCTGTTTTTGGCGTTATTTATATCCACGCGTAGGTGAGAATATAATCTACAACTTTCATTTAGACTTCGTTGGCAAATTTTGACTTTATTTTTAATTATATATTTTTAATAGGCCGGGACAGAAAAATACCGTTAAAAATTCATAACTTCTTCATCCAATCACCGTTTTCGTCTGTCTTTTTACCGTTGTACTATTATTTTCGAGATCTTCAATTCTCGTTTAGGTCGTGTCGGCTAAATATCGCTCGATCTCTATTTCGAGTTTTTAGCTGTCTACCGCTACTCCGAAACTTAGAAAAATCATAACTTCTTCATACGAAGTCAGATTTGGACGTTCTTTTTATGTACGTTCACGGTTTAATGATATCTACAACATTCGTTTAGATACTTAAGGCTAAAAAGTATTTTATTGAAATTTCGCGTTTTACGCTTAATAGTGTTTTACCGGGTTTGCTGCGAATTTTGGATTGGTCATAACTTCTTCGTTATAACTCGGATTTTTGTGTTCTTTATATTTCTGAAAACCTTGTTACGATATCTACTACTTTATGTATCCCAATTGAGACTTTTGAACATTTCATTTCTGATGCTATTTTTATTTATTTATTAATTCAAAATAGATTACAATACTTGACTTAGGTCATTACATTGACTTGAAATATCGGGTTGTCACAGTATCACTTGATAGATTTTATTTTACGATATCCTTTGATTGTTTATCGATGTCAACTATCGTAAGTCACCTTATCACTTTGAAAGTTTCTTGTCAATTCTAATATGGAAACTCTTAGAATCTGGAATACATAAAATTTCTCCTTTCAGACTAAGGTCGGTAACAGACCTTAAGCTTTCTCAAATAATAGCAATATAGGTAAGTAACCTAAGACATGCTATATTCATTTATCATTTAGCACATATTAGAATATAAGGCATATCTCCTCTTAATATTCTAGTGCTTGTGTCCATTTAGGTATTAAACCTAAAATATACTAGATACACATTGTATCGTCATTACTTAGCAATTTAAGTTTAAGCCTAGAAATCCTTACCATTTCTAGTTTTGCTTAAACTAATGCTCTAAAAATTTTGAAGTAGCTTACTACTTTTAAAATATTAAGATTTATCATTATCTAATACTCCCCTTAATTCTTTCCTATGGTTTGTATCCATATACTCCTAATGAATCCGTTCAAATATTGAACTTCCAATAGTTTAAGTCTAAATACCAATCCGTGGTATTTAGTTCACTTAAACCACTACTCTGATACCATGATTGAAAGACCCACACTTTCGTATTTATGAAAGACTCAAACTTTCATACTTGACAAATGTTACTCCAAAACATGCTACGTGCATATTCATAAATAATATTTTACATTGATAACTTGTTTACATAAGACATGATACAAACCGACTATTTCAAAGTTTTATATATTACATAACTTCCCAGGATACTATAGTTTTATACATACGGGAATAAAAAATACAAAAATAATATTACAACTATTCTAAACCTTCCAACAGTATATGACTATACTGGTTACTTATCTCCTGCAAATTTGTTAAACATTGAGAAGGTAAGCGGTGACGCTTAGTGAGTTCAAAAATAGATACAATATAACGTTATGCCATATATATACTTTAATATGGCAGAAGCAAAGAGGAACAAGGAACATCAAAGGCATACGTGAATCATGTGACAAGCTTTCCATATCAATCAATGATTTGATTCAAAGATATACAATCAATGAGACATAACAATTTCCATATTTGATATACATCAATAAAGCTTTGGCCCAAATGGCACAGAAGACATACAACTTTTGATTAACATTTTGGTAGATTTCAGGTTTATAGCCCTATCTAACCTTCTGTCAGTGCCATAGAATAGAAGTCATTCTCTTACGGAGACATGCTCTACATGGCCAGAGGCTACATACCAGTACCAATGTGAATCTAAGTCCTTTCATTGATCACATGGTCAAAGGTATTACTTTGTTATTAAAATAGCGAATAAGAATAACACGGGAAAATAACCCAGAATTATAACACTGAAAAGCACATAGCACATATAACACATAACATACAATTGTTCCTATATATTGAACTCACCGTGAATTAATCGGGGGTTAAAATAGTAATTTGTGCAGCACTTCGTTATAATAAATAGCTTTCTTCGTTGAAAACCGGGAGCTTTATTGATAACCGGGCCCTGCGAGGGTTGAGCTTTAAAACCGAAAAGATAAATTTCTCGGGGTATTCGGGCACTTCGGAACGTAATTCAGATGTTTGGAAATGATTCTGGGGCTTCGGGGGAAGTCGAAATAGTGAAAATATGAGTTTAGGGGTGAAAAATGCCAAAATTCTAAATCTAGCCGGGAGATCTCGCAACTACTATTTATAGGGGAGAGCCTTGAATGTCTTCGGCCAGAGGGGAACACGCGGCAGCAGCGAGGGGCTCCAGATGACGCGCATGCGAGGGAGGCAGGTGGCGGGTGCGAGGCTCGGACACGCGAGGAGGGCACGCGTCGGACGCCAATTGGACCACGCTTCGGACGACTCTCCGGATCGGACACACTTCTGCTGACTCACCGAGATCGGACACGGGGCGGGTGATGTGTGCGAGATCCGACCTTATCCATGCGAGATTCCTCGGAAATTGAGCCCCAAACTTCTAAAATCCATAACTTTCGCATACGGGCTCCGTTTTTGACGTTCTTTATATGCACGCGTAGGTAAAATTATGCTCTACAACTTTCGTTTAGACACCGTCGACTAATTTTGAATTTATTTTTAATATTATTATTTTTAACAGACCGGGACAAGAAAATCCATTAAAAATTCATAACTTCTTCATTCAACGTCCGTTTTCGTCAGTCTTTTTACCGTTGTACTACTATTGACGAGACCTTCGATTCTCGTTTAGGTTGTGTCGGCTAAAAATCACTCGATCTTTATTTCGAGTTTTTAGCTGTCTACTGCTATTCCGAAACTTAGAAAAATCATAACTTCCTCATACGAAGTCAGATTTGGACGTTCTTTTTAGGAAAATTCTCGGTTTAACAAATACTACGACTTTCATTTAGATCACCAAGGCTAAAAAGTAGTTATCGAAAACTCACTTTTTACGTCATTCGGCGCCGTGCCGGTTTTGTCGTGGATCTTCGATTGGTCATAACTTCTTCGTTATAACTCGGATTTCGATGAGGTTTTCGCCTAAATGTTTCTAACGAGATTCTTTACAACTTTCAATAATAAAATTTTAATTATTTCAAATTTTATATTTTCGTTAAATTTCGATATTTGTATTTTGATTGGAATCTCATAAGACTTCCAATATTTTCTGATTGATTCTAAACATAGTTTTACTTCATTTCTAGTAAAAACTATCTGTTAGAACTCAATACTCAAATCACATAATATTTCATAATATTATTTACTTTTAACATTTACAAAACACGATTTCAAAACGTGTATGTTACAATACCTCCAAAGGATGCTTGAGGATGAAACACTTTTGTATCCAAGATGCCTTAAGCCTCCAAGATGTTTCCCCTTCCTTCTTGAGGAGATAATGATGCTTAAATAGTGCTCAAACCCTAAAAAATTAGGGTTTGCACTTATGCCACGTACGCCCAACATACGAGAAAAATCACACGTCCCCCATAATGGGGCTTTGGGACCAATTTTGCCATAAATTTCACACTAAGGGTTTGAAATGGAAAATACCTGAACAATGGGTGTTACAAGGTAGGCATGTTGATTTGCTTCTAACTATTTTTCGTAGTTAAGATTTGGAGAAGAATTAACTACAATATATTTGGTTTTGGATGGTGTGACAATCGTGTTATTTACATGGGTAGACAACTTCTAATAAGCAAGAAGAGGAAACATTTGATTGTGCCAAATAAGATAGTTTGTAGGAGAAAGCTTGACAATAATCATATGAACAATGGTAGCAATAGGGAGAAAATAGTTCCATGGAGATGAGGTTGCGCCGTCGTTAGCCGTTGGAGGGAAGAAAGGAGACTATGTCATAATCTGATACTATATAAGGTGTTATGACATTCATCTCAATGAGTATGTTGTATTCATGCCATATATATATGTATATATATATATATATATATATATATATATATATATATATATATATCCCTATTTTACTAAAAGAGTCCCTTTATTGGCATATGGCATCTCCTCCAGCCAAAAGATTTTTAAAGTGAACTACCAATTATGCCCTTTTGATATTTAAACTTCCGATCTTTAAACTAGAATGGCATTACACCTTAATTAGGATCACATTCAATTTAATATGATTGAGCGCCCTAAATATCGGTAAATCATCGCCACACTCCATTCGATTAATCCTAGTGGTCTCTGGTTAATTTGCTTATTCTTCTCTAACCTATACATCCACTATATATGGTGCTGAGAAGGTGATCCCTACATCGATTTGTGGGGCTGCAGTTCAAAATGCATCATCAATTAAGGGTCATTATTAATCAAGATACCTAAACCAAAAAAGAGTATGAATTCATTGAAACCGATGTCTTATTCAAGAACGTAATCCTCTCCAAAACATTGAAACCGCTGTCTGATGATTGAAGATTGAGATGATGATGACAGGTGGTGTTATGATGGTGATAGTAGATGATGAAGACCATTGCAAATACTTTATCTCCTACCATCTTTAATCTATGTTGATCTACTTATCTTTATCTCTCTGATCTTTCTTGCCTCATTTCATTATACATGTCGCCCATTACAACTCCACCCACTTGGAAATGATTTTTGGTAGGGGAGACCATATTTGGTTTGATTTTCAGATGCAAGATGCTGCTGGTGGTGGTGGTGATGAAGATGTAAAATGGAAATAGAAATGAAAATGAGGGAAAGGAAAAGAGAGGAAGTGAGGTGTCTAGGTGATGACGGCATAATAGTCATTTAAATTTTGGGTGGGACCAAATCCACAACGAAACATGCGGAAAAGAACTATCAATCCAATTTTTCCAATGTTTTAGACCAGTATCTTAAAAAAATGCAAACCACAGGGACCATTTTTGCAATTTTATCATATATGTATGTTAGGTATGAAACATATAAATTTAAAAGACAAAACTGCAAAAATGGTCCATGTCGTATGCATTTTTAACGGGTTTTGGTCCAAACCCCAATTTTTTGTTTTTTTGAATTAGTGATTCTTTTGACCATGTTTGCTTGTTATTTTGGTCCCTCAGAAAACTGAAAAGACTAAAATGACCTTATGATATACTTTTTTTGTTTTTCTATTTAATTTAAGGTTTTATTAATTAAAAATATGAGGCCCAAATCTCTCTCTCTCTTAATTTTGGGAACTGAAACACTTTCCATCATCAACATTGCCACAACCTAGTTCATCATCTTTGACACCCGTCTCCACCTGTAAAAAGCACTGCAACAAATTAACTTGGTTTTGAAAATGATACAAGATCGATCCATGGATGAAACCCAAAAACCTTATCTTTAAAACCCATAAAACAAAATCGAGTGTGAGTGTTTATCTTTTAATTTTTCAATGTTTATGGGCGTATTGAACCAGATCAGCTGTGGAACTTCTGACTTAGCTTCTTCCATTGCAATCTTCATGCTCCGCCACTCTCTTTCTCGTTGAAACCCACCTCCAACGTCACTGTCTTTCATATAGAGATGCATACGAGTTCTCCATCTATATACTGGACTCTTTTTTATGCTATGAGTCTCCGGTGAGATTTAGAATATTTCGGTGACGAGGAGATAACAATAAGCAACATGTGGATAGCGTTTTTCGACGAGCATGGGTGATTTTTTGGAGGAGGCTGGATGTGGAGATGCAGGTAGGAATTTCTCAGATACTTCGATTTGTGCCCTTTAATGGGTTTTTTTGCATCAGGAACCTTCGGAGATTAATTATAGATATGGAATTGTGGGTTGTTCTTTTTATCCAGTTGCGGTATGTTGGAGTTGAAACTGAGGATTCGACATAGTAGGGCCGGGGTAAGGAAAACATAGCTCTGACCACGACACTCGGACGCCGCTTCAGCTACTCTCCGGTCTCCTACACCACTGGATGAAGACAATGGTTTGACATGGTTGCAACCAACAAATCTAACCAAGAACAAAAGGGATTTTAACGGTGGTGGTGTTTTTCTAATAAAGGCTTACTGCTTAGATCCATCTTTCGCCAAAAAGATAAAACCCATATAGCGAAGTCACGAACCATCCATCACACTTCTCTGTTGGATGTTGATATATTTTGTGTGAAAAAAAGGTGAGATTAATGGTTGTGATGCTCCTGAAAGTGGTTTTAATTTTTATGGGTTAAAATCATCTCCACTAATAAAAGGCAGGGGGAATGGAGAAGACAAGTATGATGAGAGAGAGATGCCCTAAATTTTAATTAATAAAACTTTAAATTAAATAGAAAAACATAAAAAGTATATCAGAAGCTTTTCAGTTTTTTTGAAAGGCATAAATCACAAACAAACATGGTTAAAAGGACCATCAATCCAAAAAAATTGGAGTTTGGACCAAAATTGAAAAAAAAATGCATATAACAGGAACAATTTTTGCAGTTTTGTCAATTTAAAACTAATCGCTCCTATTTAACATTATGTTTTAATCAACTCGTATAATATACGGGTCTCACAACTATTATTTAATATAAACAAGTAAAAAGTGATTTACACGATATTATATACATATATTAATTATCATGGAGTTGGTGATCAGGAACCTTTTGTGATTTGGAACTCTGCCACATAAGTATTTGGATTCACAATTTGACCACCAAAGTTTTACATTTTCTCCTTTCCTCCCTATGACCATTGGACCGTCTTCTTTAACCAATCACAACGCCACCGCCATTGACCCACGTCCTCTTCTTCAACAAAAAAAACCCAAGTGTTATGTGAAGATGCTAAGTTAATCGACCAGAGAGAGATACTGACCGACAAATCGTTGCCGGATTCTGCCACCACACCACGCCAATTTCTTTCTCCCTCTTCGTTCCCGATAACCTCCACAAAATTTTCTTTACCCTTCCTCTATCAGCCTCCCTCCTCCACTGTATCCATCATCGATTTGTCAGCCCTATTCGATTGTCGTTTGTGGATTTTAAAAGGGATCCATGGCCAAAGGTATCTGATGCGGCTAAAGAACTTGTCAAGAAGATGCTAAATCCTGACCCAAAGTTGCGTCTTGCTGCTTAAGAAGCTCTTGGTAATCTCAAAATCCTTACTTTTTCATGACCATGTTGTTTTTTTTCTTTTTTCCAAGTGATATATTATATGTACTTAACCCATTTCTAAGTTAACCTTTCTGTCTATCAACTTATTTCAGATCATACATGGATACAAAATGCCATAAAGGCTCCAAATGTTAATTTAGGTGAAACTGTTAAAGCATGACTCAAGCAATTCTCTGTAATGAACAAACTCAAGAAGAGAGCTTTAACAATATGTAATAATTCATTATCTTATGATTTTTTTGTTCTTGTTTTGGGTGTCTTTATACTGAATTGTCCTTTATTATAACAAAATTACAGGTAATTGCTGACCATCTATCTGCTGAGGAAGTGGCGGGAATTAAGCAAGGATTTTATTTAATGGATATAAGCAAGCAAGGAAAGACAAACATTGCTGAGTTGAAAGGAGGATTACAGAAGGTTGGTCAACAGATCCCTGATGCAGCACTTCAGATACTTATGGATGCTGTATGTATTATATTTATACTAAATTATCAAAATATAATAATAAATTGAATACATCAAATGATCCAAACAAGATAAATATAGGGATTAATGAAATATATTGATGCAACGAGATGTTGACAAAGATGGGTACTTGAACTATGGAGAATTCATTGTAATTAAAGATGATCTGTTGTACTTTGACTTTTAATTATTGCGTAATGCAAAAATTGGACAAGAAGTTCATATTTGCATAGGTGATCAGTGAACCTCCTTATAAATCTTTAAAGCTAAACCTAAACCAGTTCTTGCTACATGTCGGTCTTTCAGCTTTGCAACCTTCACACTTGGAGAATCATGTGATTGAACATGAGAAAGGGGAGGACTTCCTTAGTACAAGTTTGGGAAGTGGGAATGCTCAACAAGGTTATTGGTTTTGGATGAGAAACATGCCTATGAGGCGTTCAATGAAATGTCTGAGCCAATTAAGGTGTTCATTCCGCCTTACTTTACCTGATTTATCAGTTGATTATATTTGTTTGATCATCTATTTTCTTATTTTCTTCAGGTTTGCTTAGCGGGATCACAATTACAGCTTTTGAGATGCAACATGACTTTGTTTTACAGTTATTGGCAAATGAAAGAGGTATCCATTATAGCTATTAAAACTCCCAAATTTTGGAAGGGGTAATCTGATTTTGAGTATTTCAGTAATAAGATCAAGTAATCAGCTTAAACGAGTTGTATGTGACATTATTTGGATATAACATCCAAAACCGATTTAGAATCAATACTAATTAAACTCAATTTTACTTCATTTTTGTTGTTCTCAGCACATTGAAACACCCTATTGTTCATATGAAGTGCATGTGTTATAACCTATCTTTTATTTCTCAATTCATGATAATTTGAAGTTGAAAAAGTTACCGTTTTTGATCTTTTAGGAGTGTTTGGATGTACGAAACCAGAACCGAAATTCACAGTTCTTGGACTGTTGGACCAGAACCAATCAATAAAACAAACTCCTTACATCTTGGAACATGTGTGTAATTGGATTTCGACTTTTTGTCAGTTTAAAGTTTCTCATTATAAAGTAAATAAATTTAATATTGCAAAATATATAGATTAACCGTAAACAAACAACCTTTGTAAATTATAAAATGAACTACTACGTGCGACTTACTTCAAAGACCATAACAAATTGATGCAAACTATTGAAGTTAAAAAAATTTGTACCTTTTTACAACTTTTCCAAAACTTTTTCAAAATACTTTTACCATCATACTTAAGTAAGGATATAGGTTTCCTAACAATTAACATTTCTGAATTTCAATGATATAATAACAGTAAATGTAAGTACCATGTTGTAATAAACAAGTTTAAGAAATTATGTTACTATTTCTCATATTTAACACTTTCCTTCTTACAGCTTGCCAAGTCATAATTTTCAATGGAAAAAAACAAGAAAGGGTTTGAGGAAATGAAAAAAGTGCAGCCAAAGTAGAAATTTATAACCAATATGCTACTATGAGGCCGTTTGACTGCTTTCCAATTAAACAACCCCGTTCCATTAAAAAAAAAAAACGCACTTTGTACTTTAACGCAAATAAACATAAAGTTATACAACCACATATCTACATACCTGTATCTCTAAAGAAAACCATCATTTTTAAACTGAAATCAAGGAAAGTATGTTATCAGGCAAAAGTGACAAAATAGAAAGTTACCAACATTTAAACAAACCTATCCAACCGGCGCCAACGATGCGTGTAATTCCTGCTAGTTTTTATCAATACACATGTAACCAACCCTATAGTTTAAAAATTGTAGGGCTTATGATTATAAGTATTCAGAGCTATAGATTTCAATGTAAACGTTTTGAAAACTATCAAGAATAAAGTTCTCTGATTCTATTTATAAATGTAAATCATATAGACCGTACCACGTTAATTTTCCGTGCTGAGTTTTATTGCTTTTCCATGATAACTCACCTAATTTTGATAAATTTTCTTTAACATTAAGTATTATTGAAAAATTAAGTAATAGTTAATCACATATTATAATTAATATGTTTTTATAATTATGTAATAATATAAGTTCTTTCATTTAAAAAATATAAAGATACGTTTTCTTAGTATTAATATTTTTGACGTGTAGTTTTTTCTTGACTGAAAAAATATGCTTACTGTTTTCATTTTTTTTATGTTAGATCTAACTAAATTAATTGTGCTATGACCGGTCAGCTAATGAATTTTCAATCCGTGATTACATAGGAGATCCTTCCACAATTCTCAATCCATGATTCCATTATTAAAACTCTCATCCAGTTTAACTACTACGTTTGTTTGTTGTTTTTTAGAACGACAAAGAATCTTTTAAAAAAAGCCTAGCAAGGCATTAAACAAAACAAGAAGATTACCTATTAATTGCATCTTAAGGCCAACAAATTAAGTTTAAGTTTTAATCTACTATTCAAAACAACATAAAGAGGACCGCGACAATATAAAATCAACCATAGTAGTTTTTCTTATTGATCCATTCCAAAAGTCGTGTCATTTTTAAATTTTAAGCATCCATATTACCCATCACACATCATGATAAATGCAACAAGACATTTCTTTTGTAAAGAAATAAGATTGAGAAGATTCTCCCAGAAAGTTCATAGAAGTTTGCAAAATTCAAAATGTTTACATTCCACCATCGAGCTATTCGTGCCAAAATATCCATCTTGAGCACACAAGAAAAAAAGGTGTCATCCGAATTCTCAATAGATGACCAATTTGTAGTGCATTAAAGAGAGTCAAGTTTAATACCCCATTGTCAAGATTGGCCTTTGTTGGATGTTTATTTTGTTTTAATCTCGAAGCCAAAATGTTGATTTTTCCTTGACTTCTATCAGCTTCTTAATTAATCAGTGGTTTTTTTATTTTATAAAATTGTCGTTGCAGTTCAAAAAAATAAAATAAAAAATAAAACTCCCATGTCACTTGGAATACAATACATCATCCCAATTGAATAATTCACTCCTTTGTCAAACAACAATACGATAGATATACTATTCGGCCTCTCCGACAATAGAGGTTTGTTGCAGTGACTCTAGGGCATGAGGCATAACCTCATGTTTGCAGTAGATGATAGTCAGTACGCGAAAGCTAACCCGATTCATTTCCCAAAAAAAAACAAAAAAAACAATAAGATAGATATAATATTTCACTCCCTCTTCGAGCAACAATATGATTAATAATTGGTGGGCATCGGTGTTCAGTAATTGTTCATGGATGCCTAAACAAAAGATTCAAGTTGGAGCATAAAAAAGCAAGTGCCAAAGAAAACTCATTAACAGCAGACGTGGCAAAATTATATAGGCCCGACGATTTAGTAACAGGTAAAATTTGATAAGAAATGTATTTCTTTATTTCATATATGATCAAATTCACAATAGGAAGGAAAAACTTTATACATGGGCATAAGAAGCTAAAAAAGGACGGAGGCTAATTTGGCGATTAATCTACTCCTATAATTAGAGGTAGCAAAAATTGACACGATACGAAATAAATGAGTTTGGGTAAAATATTTCAACTCGTTTAAATAAACAGATTGATATGACACGACACAACACGAAAACTAAACGGGTAAGGTTAGAATTGAGAATTTCAACTCGAATATGACTCGGAAATGACTCGTTTATTTATATGCAAGTTTTTTGAATTCTTTAAATAAACTAGAAAGATACAAAACCAAAACAATAAGTAAAAGAAAACCTTTGAATTGAGTTATTTTGTAATGTTGAAATGACTTAGTAATCTAGATCAATACTTCATTTTCATTTTTTCCATTCTCTCCCAAACTATATAGCCCTTTAATCACTCTCATCCTCATGATCTTTTCCTCCACCTCCACAGCTCATACTCTTTCAATTTTGTCATTTGAACTTGCTATGACTTCATCAATTCTGCCTCCAAACTATTAGTTTTTCCTTTCCGCCTACCCAACTCCTACTTTTTCAACATGCTCAGTATTTTGACCTCATATGACACGGCATATTTCAAGGTATACCTCTAACACGAAACCCAACACGAACTCGACATGAAAATAAACGGGTTGACACGACACGACATGTTAATTAAATGGGTTGGGTTAGAGTCAAGCACTTTCAACCTGTTTAGTGTTTCAACACGACACAAACTAGACATGACACGACACGATTGCCACCTCTACCTATAATCAAGGAATCTACATAAAAGAATTGATTCTTAAAATACCCTAAATGACAGCCTACACCAACATTCCGTCTCAAATTGGTGTGTGCAATTCACGAACACCCAATTTGTCAAGTGAGTTGTAAAAATTTGTTGCATATAGCTTTTATGAGAATGTCTGCTAATTGATCTTCAGATTTAACAAAAGGAAATCGGATTACTCTTTCGTCAAGATTCTGTTTAATAAAGTGGCAATCCACCTCCACATGTTTTGTTCTATCAAGTTTCATTGGATTATGTACAACACTAATAGCAGCTTTTTTATTGCAAAATAAGTCCATCTCACATGTAGGAGCAACTTCGAGTTCAGTTGACAATCTTTTGAGCCATAACAACTCACATAACCCTATAGCGTGATGGGTTTTAAGCATAAGAACAATCCTATGTGCTCATACAAACCCTAATGCTTGGATCTAGGTTTCTCTATTGTACATGCAATGAGTCCAAGACTTACAAACCCTAGATCTATCAAATAAGAACTGAAATAATGGTTTAGTAATTACCTTTGATTGTTATATAGCAATAACAATCAATCCTTGCTTTGATTGGCTTCAGAAAGCTTAGTGCCTCAAGTGTTGCACCTCTAATGGAGTCACAAACACCACTAAGCAACTTGGATGAAGAGGGAGGAGAGAGGAGGCACCAAAAATGGCTGGAAACCCTAGAGGAACTCTTATTCACGTTTTTGGGGCTTAAGGGTCCTTTATATACATGTAGGCTATTAGGGTTTACAACTAGGAAACCCTAATCTGGCTGCTTAGGCCCTAAGCAGCCCATGGACTCCTTTAACATATCCCTTGGACAATTTCTAATGGGCTTCCCATAGAATTCGTCCAACCTATATATTATTAGGTGATCCATAGCCCAATCGTAATTATCTTATAATTACAAATCCAGTCCCCTAAGTTTAATTAATCTCTTTTAGTCACAAAATTAATTCTTAATTAATTCTTGACTAATATTAATTAAACAATATGATTTCTCCTTTAATATATTATTCTTATAATATATTAATAAATCATAATTAAACCTTTCTCTCTCCTTAATTCATCCTACATATTGCTATGGTGAAGGCAACCCAAAAGGACCATGCTCATAATCGGGTCAAGTACATACCAAAATAGTTATGGACTTAGACACTAATCCAACATAGCCATCCTACGAAATCCCCTTTCTGCACTTGACAATGTGACAACCTTTTGTTTTTTACTTCTACATGTAACAAGATTTCCACCGACAAATATGAAGTACCCGGAAGTAGACTTTTTGCCAGAAGTTTTTCGTGCCCAATATGCATTTGTATATCCTTCTATCCTTGTATGGTTATTCTTTGAGAAAAATATTCCATTTCCAGGAGAAGATTTCAAATATCGAAGAATTCAAATTACAACATTCATATGATCTTTA